AAAATATGACCGAGTTGTGAAAACAAGCTCAAACAACTTATATACAACGAAAGGAGACTGCGACCACACAAAAGGCGACACCATCTTGATCTTCATACCTTCGAAAATAAAGTTTTTTCAAGCTTTATATTAAGTATATTTGATGTGAGAATAAAAGCAGATATAAATATTATAACAAAGAGTTAAAATTGAAAAATGCTGAGATGAGCCCCAATTCATTTTTAAGTAAAAAAAATTATCCAGCAATTTCATTATGCTTGCCCTTTACCGTATAGGAAATAACCTAAATTAGAATAAAAAATATTTTAAAGATTTTTCTTTTAATGCAAATTTTAAATATTCGTGCATGGCCAATTTCATAAGGGTATACAAAGATAGTTTGAAAAGCCTAAGCAATATAAATAAATCTATTAATTAGCAAGGTTCATTTCTATAAAATGTTAAGTTATATTGCTAATATACAACGATTCTTTGACGGGAGATCAATACATTTGTTAAATAGCAGAAAAACAGTGATGATATCATTTGAAAAATCTTTAATCAAAGTTTTCATCAATGCCAATGCTCCTTTAAATGTTTTACCTTAATCTAGAAATCCTAAATAAAAGGGATCTCCTCTTGTTACTCAATCGATTATACTATCTAGCAGTGCTAAATTTGTTTGGCGAGATGAGGTTCAAACGGGTCATATAACATGGATCCAATTAAAAAAGAAGTAATGGAAGCAATATTAAATAAAAGATAAAAGATTCATTGATACAAGCCATGGTGACTGATGAACTGAACGAGCAACTAAGACCAGAAGTTAATGTCTAAATTAGAATTTAATATTCAAGGTAAGTCCTGTAATGATAGCACAAAAATATGTGAATGATTTTGACTGGGCCATTGCTATATGCTTAAAAATAGGTATATTTATGGGAAATAAGTTTTAAGGATAGCGATAGATTGTAAATAAGTGTTGTGGTCCTCCTGGGTGGCCTAACGTAATTAAGGACAGATAACCTAGTTTTAAACGCTGATTTAATTAGGCATCATAACTCCAATTAATTTTACTTAGCCTTGGCTCCCAAAATTTATTCTGGTCCAGGGTGGACTGTAGTTTAGCCCTATAAACGAGAATAAATGAAGTTAATTGGCATACTTTGATTGCTGAAATCAGTGTGAAAAAATTTCATTGAGCCCTTCGTTAACGTATATGGCCTGTTAGCCACAGCTCTAATTTATTAATCAATAATATATAGATGAGTTTGAAGGTCTCAAAAGTTTCATGGTAAAACTAAATAATCACTCAATCTACAAAACCAAAGAAATCACCCGAAAAGAAGATTACATTTGCTAAACCTCATTATCTAACAGTTTTATTTCATAATAAGAAAGTTTAATCCTTATAGTGAAAATAACAATAAAAATACATCATAGCAATTAGAGAACAAGTTAAATTTGACCTTGTTAAAGCTTCCAGAACTAAATAATGAAAAAATATGAACAAAGAATCTAACCTCCGTTAGGCAATGTGCGTATGAACCAAATTCCTGTTTTACTTCATGATCCCAAGTTCCAATGTCGCCGGTCCTCGCTGCAGCTGCTAGTCTTTCTAAAAGAGTAGTCACGGTTTCATCTTGGGGATCAAGCTCAGGAATTAAAGAACTGTATTCGAGTAAGGAGATAGGGTTGCCAGAACGATTAACGTAGGCGGAGCTAAAAGGGCCCAGCAGAAGGCTGCTACCAGACTCAAAGGCACAAGAGTAGAGCTAGGAAGTCAAAAAGGGAATGTGACAATAAGTAGCTAAATCAGTCAGTTTGCATATATTGCATTTGCCTGGAATAAATAAGACATACAAATCATTTTGAGTTTAGAAATTATATTGAATTAACGGTGATTTTTGGCTAGGGAAATGAAGGATAAGTTTCAAAAATTGAAGCAATTAAGTAGGATGAATTAAACTGAAGATCGTTACTTCTTTAGTAAGCGAACTAGTAATTTGGCAATTAAGATCTCATCCTTTTGATTTTTTGAACTTACTGATATTAATTAAGTTAATATTATTGCTTAAAAATGAATGTTCTGGATTTTTAAACGATTTGAACAAGATAATAAATAATAATGCATATCAACAATGAAAAGAAAAGCATCAAAGCATAATTTTAGATAAGTAGAATACTATAACCAATAATTAATGCACTAAATACAAAATTACACATAATATCGTTGAAAAGTAATAAATTGTGAATAAATAGGAAACAAATCTGAGAAAACTGGCTTAAATATAAACCTCCAAGGGATTCAATATTGCACTGATCTTAATATAAAAAAGGACATGATGCAAATAAACTCGAATAAAAATATAAAAGTAAGATATTTATTGTGGTATTGAGTGTATATAATCCCCTATTCTAAAAAGGGTAAAATGCTTAGATGTACTATCTAGCATTGATAAAAAAAGAATAAAAATTTCCTCAGTTACACTTTGTTTGAATAAACTTTGGATAGTCTATCTAGATGAGATGGTTATGAGATTATATCCTAAAATGCAAGCGAAAAAGGAGAGATCGACTGACACATACAGCAAAGGTTATCTAAAGAGAAGTCTCTGAAAAGCTTGATATGTCCAAGAATCAGAGTTAGCTGAATATATTGCTGATACAGAACACAGAAAAATGGATAATATTCACAATCTTGTAATGATAAATAAACTTTTTAGCTAAGTTTAAGATTGGGCAATGGAAATTTACAAAATTTACATTCTAAATAGGAGTGTAGGATATCAAACGAAAAATAGAAAGATGAAGTAAGAGGAATAACAACTAAGAAGAGTGGGACTAATTGAAGTGAAATTTGTTTGGACTCTAGCATGTCAATTTACTCGAAGCATAATTAAGACAAAAGAATGCAACAACAAAGTAGAGGTTGCGTCAATATTGAAGTTTATTTATGCAAGAAAATAGCTGCTAGGCCATATCAACATTCAATTTATGTAATACCTTAACTCA